CATGTGGTGGTGACATATGATGCTAGTTTCTTGGGCTGCTGTGACAAATTACCACCGACGTGGTGGCTGGGAACAACAGGAAATTATTCTCCAGTATCTGAGATCCAAACTCCAAAATCAACTCCATTGGTTCCAAATCAAGATGACAACAGGGCCATCTCCTCGCCAGCAAAACCCTTGAGAAGGGTTTGCTTTGCTTCGCTCCCTGGTGGCTGTATTAGTCGTTGTATCCCTCTCCCCAGCATAACCTTCTTCCTCATGTGCCTGTCTGATCTTTTTCATCCTTTCCACTGATGCAGGGCAACCTTCCCATCTCAAGTGCCATCATGTTGACCAAGACCCCTGTCTTAAACAACATCTGCAGGTCCAGGGCTTGGGATATGAACCTGTTTCCATGCTATTATTACCATGGACCTCTGTGAGACAGCTCAAAGGAAGGCCTGAGGTGATGGCTGGAGGGGAAGGCCTGTGGTATTCCCTGGCATGAGTCATCTGAGGTGCTCCCTGCCTTGAGTCATCTGGGGTACTCCCTGCTGTGAGTCATGCCATTGCCTTTTATTCCCTTCCAAGTTGTTGAGAGAGCTGGAGATGGTTAGAAAATGTAGACATTCTTTGGCATACAATGGTTCAATTTACGGTTATTTGACAAAGGTGATCCCCAGTCAATAAAAAAGTATACATCACCATTTTACATTTGGGTCATTTCCTGGGCTGGCAGTGTATGGTGCGATACCCCTTCCCAGTAGCCAGTGATGGTGAGTGTCACAGTCTGTTCCCAACATCATGCTGCATTACTGAGCCAGGAGGGATGGTATGGTAAGGGTGTGATGTGTACTTTCTGCATAGAGTCTTTGGGCCACCTTGAGGTTTATTAGGACATAGATCATGATACAAAGAGGAACCTTCGATGGCTAGTGTTAGCTCTTAACGCAGAATCCAGAATTCCCTGGGAGACTGGTCTCTGGCCTGTGGGGGCTCATATGAACTGTCAGGAGAGGCTAGGAGCCGAGAGGAGCGAGGTGGGTGCAGGTAGAAGGTGGCCTTGTCTGTGGCTGCAAGGAGTGTGGGCATGGAGCCTGGCCATGTACTCTTAAAAGCTTGTCTCAGAAGATGTTCCCTCCCCATCTCCTGGGGAATTATTCGGGCCTTGTTGCTGCTGTAACAAATTTCCACAAACTTGACTGCTTAAAATTGTGAGAGATTAACTATGTCACAGTTCTGGGTACGAGAGGTCTGGAATCAGAGCACCAGCAAAGCTTTCTGTTGATGCTGAGGCTTTTCTTTTCTTTCTGTTGGTTGCTAGTGTTCTTTGGCTGTGGCCCCACCCCTTCTCCATCTCCTTCACACCTTCTCTGCTGTGCCCCGCCTGAATTTCCCTCTGCCTGCATTCCAAAAGAACACTGGGGGGGTGTATTGGCCCACTCTGGTAACCCTGGTTAACCTCAGTATATCCCTTATCCATATCTACAGAGCCAAAGGAAAGGCATGTCCATACAATCCACGGGTCAGCACTGAATATCTTTGTTATTCAGCCCAGGACAAGCAATTAATAAGCTAAATAAATTATCCCAACAGTAACTGTGTGCTCTATTAAAAAAAAAAAAAAGAGATCATATTTTTGCTAGCTTTTAGATTATTGTTTGGTTTTGGTCCTTTTAAGACTTCATTGTTAAAACATTATTACACACTCATTCAGAGTCACGCAGAAGCAGAACTCAGTTGTGGCTTTTCAGCATCCTCCCATCCCCCCAAAGATATATCTGCTGCTTGCTTGTCTGTCTGTCTGTCTATGCAATAAATACACATCTATGTGCATGCATATATGTGTGTGCAGAAGGGTGCACATGTCCATATGGGTGCCCGTGTGTGTGTGCACGTCTTCATGGAGACCACCCACCAGTCAGCCGCCGCTGTGGTGCTTTAGATGCTCTCCCCTTTGTGTTTTGAGACAAGGTTCCTTAGTTGCCTGGAACTTGCCCAGTAGGCAAGCCTGACTGGCCAGCAAGCCCTAGGGAAATACCTGTCTCTCCGCTTCACAATTGATGGGATTGCAAACATGCACCACTATGCCAGGCTTCCCCCCCCCAGTGGGTTCTGGAGATTGAACTCAGGCCCTCAATTTACAAGGTAAACACTTTGAGCCCTCTCTCCAGTCCCAGAATAATACATATGCATACATACACACATGTATGTATGAATGCACACACACAGAGGAGCCAGGAAGAAGTGCACTTGATCCAGCTGTGAGGTTAGCATCTGGAATGAGTTTCAGACAAACCCAGCCAGGGTGTAACTTTAGCGCCAGTGGACTGTAAGCCCTGGCTTGGGATATAAGGGTGGGGCAGGAAGGTGACCTGCTGTGAGACAGGAGCAGAGTAAGCCTCCTCCAGCCAGTGTTCTTCTTGCTGATTACACATTGCCCTTGGTTTGTTCTTCATATCTCTCAATAAAGGGTTTGCAGTTTCCTATTAGGAGGAAGCTGCTTCTTAGGAAGCCATAATAGACTTGGGGGTTCAGAGCTACTCTCTCTTCATTCATCCCATTGGCTAGTAGCCTCTTGGCCACTATTGTTTGTAATGTTCTGTGAGGTGCAGAGGAACAGGCTGTAAAATGAATTATTCTGGATATACTAATTAAATGCAGGACATTATTACAGCAGCAGTTATTCCTAAACCAGCTATTTTTCCAAATAAAAGACACAGAAACTTGTTAGATTTACAATAAACCTTAAAGCATTAGAGCTGGACAGGTACCAACCCTCTGAGCTATCTTGTCTTCTTCCCATACAAAATCCCAAATACTTGCACATGTTTCATTTGGATGCTTCTGCTCCATCAGGCCAGTCCTCAGAGCAAGCTGCCCTTGGCCATTATGTTTCTGGTGTATGTCACTCCATGTAACCTTCTGTTCTCTCCATCTCTGTCCTCTTTCCTGTTACATCTTCTGCTCTCCTCCTCCCTCATGGCCTCTGGACCCCATCCATATCCCTTGGGAACCTCAACTCTGCCTACCTCTCTTCTGCCCAGCCCAGGCGGTTAGCAACTTTATTAACCAATCAGGGATAATTGGGTAGCATTCCTATATCACTTGGATACAGGAGATAGTTGACATTAGGAACAATGCCCATGTCAGGGCAGTAACCAGATCTCAGGGCACTGAAATCAGCATCTGAAGACGCAGTGCACAAGACCCTCCTTCAACAACAGGCCCTGCTTTAGCCGTGAGCATCTGAACACCTGACAGAGGCTTGGTGTGCAGGGATGTGAGGAAGGTTTGGGTGGCTTTTTTTAGCCATCTCCAGAGTTGGTCTGGCAGGGTGCCAGGAAGGTGGCAGAAGTACTTAGGATGTCTGGCCACACACTGGAGAGAGGCTGGACCCCGGATAGCCCATGGTGGGGATGATGAGGAAATGTTCAGATGCTTCTGCATACAACAGTGAGTGAACCCAAAAACACTTCAACCGGAAACCAGGGCTACAGCCCCCTCTATTCAGTTTCTAGAGTGTAGACTGAACTCAGGCGAGGCCTGGGCAAAGGTCATGCAATTGTGAGGACATGGATGCCCTAGTCCAGGCTGTCTTTGAATGGCCAGAGGCTTGCTAATTTAAATTTGCTTATGGCTCGTGCTTTTTCTTATTTTCTTTTTATTAATAGTATCTTTGCAGCTCAACTGAGGTCTAATTGACAGCTACAACGTGCCTATGTTTATTGCGTGAGGTGTGATGTTTTGATATGTGTGGATATTGTGAAATTATTTCTACCCTCAGGCTCTTTAACATCCCCATCACCCACTGAGCATTACCTGCGTGTGTGGTGAGTGTGTTGAAGTCCATAGTGCAGCATCAATAGCCACAGCCAGCTCAATGTTAATGAGCTCTCAAGTTCTAATTATCATGAACTATGTCCGGAAAATTACTATGTGAGCTGCTCACTGCAAGCGTATCTATCCACCTTGCATCTATGTGCAGAGTTTCGCCAAGGTGTAGCTGCCCTCAGTGCACTGTGCCACAGACACAGATCTAGCCATTCAGAAAGAAAACACAGAGGATGCTGGCCGTGCTTCTGCCGCACCCAGGGGCTCTGAGCTTTGTTCCAGAGCGTCCTTCGGAGGTCGAAGTTCTGGGCACAAGGGAGTGTCTCAGTGAGCCAAGAGAAGGACAGATGGGGAGATGGGCCTCTGGCAGGATGAACTGGCATGCTGCTCACAGCTGGCCACACTGGGAGGGGACCAAGGGGGAGGTGTGCCTTAGGACCTGAAGGGTGAAGAGGTGACCCCCTAAAGGAAAAGAGGTGAGGGTAGTACAGATTTGTATGGGTGATAGAATCTTCCCTTCTATCCTTCTTCTGCCCCGTGTTTAAGACAAGGTCATCTTGTGGTCAGTCTGTGGGTGATGGACATGTGAGGCTGACTCTCAACAGTAGGCTGAGAGGTCACCTGAAAGGTGATTTGCCAGAGACCGTCTGACGTAGACTGTGCAGGTTGCAGAGCCGGCAGAGCTGAGGTTGAGTTAGCTGCATCTGAGGGCAGCCCCGTCCCGGCCCTCTAACTGTGCCTGGGGCTGAAGACGAGGGTACAGGTGTAGCTGCTTCTGAAGTGCGGCCTTGGGGTCACCTGAAGGGAGGCAGCGAGCCCTATGAGCAAGCGGCAGAGTCCTTAGTTCCAGAAGAAATTAGTGTCTCATCCCTGTACCCATCCTGTGGAGAGCCAAGTTTGACGTGGACTCTTTGCTGAGTTGCCCAGATTCAGGTTGGCTTAAGTTAATCCTATTTTTTCTTCTTTAATAAAGAACTTTTTTCCTGATGTTTTAGTTAGTTTTTTCTTTTTTCCATGATGTTAACTGTTTAATTCATGGTACCTTGCACATTCTAGGCAGCCAAGTAATTCTAGCCCCCAATCTAGGTTTCCCCTGCTGCAGAGAACGTGCTCTGGTCTGTGTTCCCCACAAGGATGGCCTTTGCCTACCGTGTCTGACAACAGCTCTGCTTTCTGCTTCACCTTAGGTAGCCATCAAGGTCATCGATAAGAAAAGGGCCAAAAAGGACACCTACGTCACCAAGAACCTGCGCCGAGAGGGGCAGATCCAGCAGATGATCCGGCACCCCAACATCACACAGCTCCTGGACATCTTAGAGACAGAGAACAGCTACTACCTGGTCATGGAGCTGTGCCCCGGTGGCAACCTGATGCACAAGATCTACGAGAAGAAGCGGCTGGACGAAGCCGAGGCCCGCAGATACATCCGGCAGCTTATCTCCGCCGTGGAGCACCTGCACCGGGCTGGGGTGGTCCACAGGTGAGCGCCAGGCGCATCCAGCTCTGGGCCCGAACTCGGTGCACCCTGCTAGTGAGGGCTAGCACGTGTGGCCTCTCTTACTATTATTTTGTGGCCTTGTCCTGTGAGCTGTTTTTGTGAGTTGGGTAGGGGTTCAAATCGTTGAATCTAAAGCCACAGCCCCGAGGCTTGGGTCTGGGCTCTGTAAGGGTTGTTTGTTTCTGGGTACATCGCGTCACCTCTCTGAGCTCAGTCTCTTCACCTGTGACATGGGAGTGAGGACACACGTCTCTCTGGGGGGCTGGTGTTAGGCAAGGGCCCTAAAGGTGCTTGGGACATAGTGAGGGCCAGGCAAGGGTTACCACCCTTCTTATCATTTCCAAAGTCAGTCATCTTAGCGTCACTTCCTGTTGCCATGATGAAACACCCTGGCAAAGGCAACTTAAGGGGAAAAGGTTCAAAATTTTATGTCTGTCACTGTGGGGCTGTCAAAGGCAGCAGGAGCTGGAAGCAGCTAATATTACAGTTTACAGTGGAGAGTGGAGAGCAGTGTTTGCTGAGTGGTGATTTGTTCACCTTCCTCACACTTACACGGCCCAGGGAATGGTAATGCCCACGGTGGGCAGGCTCTCCCCACTAGCCAAGACAACCCCCGACAGGCATGCCCACAGCCAACCTGTTCTAGATCCCTCATTGAGATTGTGTCAAGGTGCCAATTAAAGCCAAAGCACATTGTATGATGTATGAACATTTCAAAGAACAAACAAAAGTATTGTTAGAAAAATAAATAGAACATGCACAGAACAGAACAAAACAAAAACCATGAAACTCAAGCACCACCACAAGGGACCAGTCGGCCAGGTGCCCCAAGAACAGTGGTGCGGAGATGGTGTGGACAGCTTTCAGCTCACTGGTATCGTCATGTTCTCTGTCTGAGGGTGGCGGCTCTGGAATTCCTTTATTCTGTTGACTGGAATTACCACTCAGACTGTGAACTTGCCCTTAAAATGAGGGGTAGTCTCTGGAAGCCTAATGAACCTTGTGGATAACTATGAAACCCAAGCTTGCTTTTACCAGCTCGTTCTTTGGGGGGGGGGGAGATGTAGAAGGAAAGTGAATGGAGATTGTATTCATAGTGGTGTTATTGTTGCTGACAGTGCAAGTCTTTGTGTAAAAATAGGCTTAAAATAGATTTCCATGTCCCATTTCCCTTCAAGAAATATTGAGTGCTTGGTGCTCTTGCAGAGTACCCAAGTTTGGTTCGCAGCACCCGTGTTGGGTGGCTCCCATTGCCGGCATCCTCAGCTCTGGGGGATCTGGTGGCCTCTGTGGATACGGAACTCGTATCTCCCCTCCCCATGCACATCACCCCCCCCCCACATAATCAAAAATAAAAATGAAATCTTAACAAAAAGTGCTGGGTGTAATGACACATGGAAGACAGAGGCAGGTGGATCTCTGTGAATTCGAGGCCAGCCGTATTTCCATATGAGTTCCAGCCTAGCCAGGGCTACAAAGTGAGTCCTTGTCTCAAAAGAAGTGAAAACAAACAAAAGAACAAAGAACCCAAACCAGACCAAAGACAAAGAAAAAGAGGGAGCGGGGGGGGGGGGGGGAGGGAGAGAGAGAGAGAGAGAGAGAGACTCTAATAAATGTCTGGGTGGTTTTTTTGTTTGTTTGGGTTGGTTTTGGTTTTGGTTTTTCAAGACAGGGTTTCTCTGTGTAGCCTTGGCTATCCTGGAACTCACTCTGTAGATCAGGCTGGCCACAACTCACAGAGACCTGCCTGCCTCTGCCTCCCAAGTGCTAGGATTAAAGGTATGTGCCACCATACCTGGCTTTTTAAAGATTTTAAGTAATTACTATGTTGCTGAGAAAAATTGAAAGTCATTTAACTCTCATTTTAAAAAGCAAAGTCAAGGCATAAAATGTGCATGTATATATTTATAAATGCCTACAGAGGCATTTAAATGCATGTTTAAATATTGTTAAATTGAGATATACTTGTAAAATTCACACTATAAAACACACAGTTTAATTGTTTTAAGTGTACTTGGAGCTGGGCAACCATCAATACATCCAATTTTAAAATAGTTCTTATCCCCCAGCAAGAAGCCTTGTTCCTATTGACCTTCATTCACCATTCTTCCCTCCTGTCACCTCTTGCTAACTCTTTATCTACTGCTTGTCTCTGATTTACCTGTTCTAGATAGCTCACATAAACGGAACCATAAAATACATGGTCTTTTGTTGCTGGTGTCTTAGTCAGCATAATGCTTTTCAGGTTCCTCCATGGTATTAGTTCTTTCTTCCTTTTCAAGGGTGAGTAATATTTCAGTGGCTACACCATGGTCTACTGTTCTCTCCGCCTGCTAATGGACGTTTAGGTTGCTTTCCTGTTGGGGCCATTGTGATAATGCTTTGACAAGTGTTCGTAGTGGAGTTTTCAGGTGGCCAAGTGTCTGCCGCTCTGGAGAGCCCTTCTTCATGGGGAGTTCCTGGGTCATGTGACAGCTCTTTGCAGAGACATGTCTTTTCTTAGCATTCATCTTGGAATGCCGCTTCTTATCTTTCTGAAAGTCGTTCCTTTCTGACCAGTGAAGGACTTTCCTCGTAAACCCTGGCACTTCCTGTCGACAGGGCTGTGTACCCCGAAGTAAGACTGGGGCACCATGGGATGCTCTGCCCTGCTGTGTCTGAACCCAGGGGTAGCTGCGAGGATGTCCTGTTGCTTAGGGCTTTGCTGGGCTGGTTTTGCCTTGCTGCCAAGCACTCCTGTCGATTATTCCCTGCTGAGGTGAGGACCTGCTCCATGCCTGCAGCCTTAGTCACGCACTTCAGGCAGTCATGCTTTGCTAGAACTCTTGACTGTAGGTCAGCAAGGGAGGGAATGTCCATGAATGTGCATTGTGTGACAGTGGTTTTGGCCGTGTGCCCAGTCATCCCCTAGCTGTGTAAGGAGATGATGAATGGATGCCTGGCTCTGTCTTTGTTTGACAGAGGCAGAAACATCACGACTGAATTGGCTTGGATTACAGACTCCGTAGGTCATATTTGAAAATAGAACCAGGGAACTGCAAGCAGCGGAGTGTTCCATGGCACTCACCCCCACCCCCCAGGGTTCCATGCTACCAAAAATCAGACAAGTGCCAGGCTTCTCAGGACGGGGGACAACAAAGGGAGCTCAAGCGGATCCTGTGAGGTGCACGGGGTCTCCCCCGCAGGAAATTCTCAACAGCCCCTTAAAGTAATTTTAACAAAATCCAATCCCTCACTGCAATTACTGTCAGAATGTCAAAGGAAGGAATTTAATAATGTTTTGATAGCAGAGACGGGGCGCTTTTAAAAACTCTCCTTGCCATCTCTCTTCCTCTTCCTCTCTCTCCTTGGAAATAGCTTTATAATCCAATACTGGCTCAGGCTTAAGCCTTTTAGAGTTAGAAGAGAGAAAGCAGAAAGACTGACAAGTATAGCTGCTTTTTCTCTCTGGAAGTCACGGTGAGTGTGTGTGTGTGTGTGTGTGTGTGTGTGTGTGTGTGTGTGTAAGTACACATACATATGCAGGCCAGAGGTTGACATTGGATTTTTTTTCAGTTGCTTTTCCACCTTTTTTTTTTTTAAACAGTCTCTCACGCAGCCTTGACTTTCTTGGTTACATTAGGCTGGCCGGCCTTCTGTTTCTTCCTCCTCAGTGCTGTGATTGCAGGCATGCACCTCCGAGCCTGGCTTTCCTGTGGGTATCAGGAACCTGCACTCAGGTTCGAAAGCATGTACAGCAAGCATGGCAGTGACTAAGCTATTTCCCCAGCCCTCTGGAAATCGTGTTAGCATGTGTCGCCCTGCATGGGCATGGGAGACGGGTTGCTAAGACAACCACTAAAATATTTCTTATCATATAGTCACAGGTGTCTTTTATCCAAATGTCTCTACTTTCAAACATTTCATATGACTTTTAATGTTATTTTGATTTAGGGGCCATCACCATATTTTGACTGTCATTCCTTTGGTCCCCCCCGCCACTTACCCCAGTGTTGGAGAATTTTCTTTTTCATGTGGTAGTGGAGGAGAAACATTCATAAATTATTTTGAGGTTAGGCTTTTTTTTTTTTTTTTTGAAACAAATAAGAGAAGTTAGCATCTCAGAGAAGCCATAGAGTCTTGGGTGGAAAGATTTGTGAGTGAACAGATTGAACCACGGGAAACGGTCGGAAGGGATGCCACTGGCTGTGCAGGTCTTGTGTTGGAGGATGCTATAAGCTCCTGGACTTCTGTGGATTCAAGCTTGGTTCTCAGATTTGGGCTTCATCCGCTGAGCCATTGCCCAGCAACTCAGTTTGTTTTATGACAGCCCTCCAAAATACTCTCCCAGCAGGAAATCACCATCCAACAATTGCGTGTTGTATACAGAGCTTGACTCCTAACCTGAACCCACAAGAACACTGCAATGAGAAACTAATTTGAGACTCCTCTGGTCATTCACAGTAAGAGATTCCAATCAAAGTCTACAGGCACAGCATTCCAGAGTAATCTAAAACCGGCTGTCCCTAAGCAGGAAGAGACAAGCCGCAGACCTGCTGGACCAGAAGAAAGGGCTCCAAGATCAAAGGCGAACGGCAGCCTGTGCTTAGACAAGTGTTAGCACCTCCCTGCCCAGGGCCTTGACCCTCCTCATTCATCAGCATTGGAAAGACGTCCTCCTTCCTGAGGGGACAGCAGTGGGGAAGAGAGGCCCTTTGTTCCCCGGAGGCTGACAAGAAGCAGGCGCCACCTGGGCAGGTTGCATAAATCTTAACCAGCAGAGGGAAAGGGAGAGGGAGGCAGGTGAGAGGGGATCGCTGTCTGCTCACATCCCGGAACTGCTGGGGCCTTCAGATGGAAGCAAACATCTGTCTGCAGGCACTGGCTAGAGCAAAGACTGTGTGTGTAGGTGGGTTTGAAAAACAGGGTCACAAATGGTAGATTTTGCCACGCTGTGGTTCTAGCCCTTTTGTGGACTGACACGTATTGTCAGAAGCTTGGGC